GGAAATTAAAATGTAATTAGTTTTTCAAACAAATTTGTCAGACGCTTCAATAAACTCTCCAGTTTCAAGGTTCAGGCTTTAGAGGGTTAACCTCCAGCTGCGTTGAGAGCATTAAGCCCGACTTTGACCCCGAGTACACGCTGGCCTGTAGTAGTTAGACTCTGGCGACACTTTCACAGCGAGGAGACGTTTTCTGATGCCTGAAGAAACCAGACGCGATAGGCTGATCGGAGCGGCTCTCGCCTCAGAGGAGGACGGTTAAGCTCATGTTGTTCCAGTGAGCACTTCAGGGTCGGGCTGTTTCTCAGCACAGAAACTGGGAGATTTTACAGTGTTACTGGTGGTTCTTCTCTCACCGTGGGTATGCCAGACAGGTTAAAAATAATAACTAAAACTAACAGTGATAATAATTACAGCCCAAACAGATCCTTGGAGACCTGATGAGACAAACAAGGAGAAATATCGTGTGGATTAAGTCAGCTTATATCATTTAAATGCTTTGAAACTGTCAACAAAATCAGAACTGGACGAATCAAACGAACAGAAAACCTGCTGAACTACTAAACGTGTAGTTTTTGAAAAGTTTTCAACATTTCTCCACTTTAGTTTCTGTTTTTACTCAGTGAACATCTGCAGCGCTTTCATGGCCACCATCTGTACAGATCCTCCCTCCCCATCATTCACTAGCCGCCTCCTCTTCATCTCTCCCTTCACCGTCCTCTGAAGTAATCAGGTCTCAGCAGACGGAGCTGTGAGGAGTGCTAAGTGAAGCTAAAGAGAGGAGACGGAGGAGGGAGATGGGAGGAAGGGGAAGATAGGAGAGCTAATTGCTTCCTTCTTGTAGCCTCAAAGATGAAACGAGTGCGGAGCTGTTGGGAGTTGCTGTAATTCTCAGAGGGGCTCGCTCAGATGAAAGCACGAGGAGATGATGATGTTATGCAGCCGAGGTGTTAGCGTAACCTTGAAATGCTGCGTTGGCACACTTTGAATGGATCCACGGCTGCTCTGTTTTTCTCTCAAATCACACGTTTGTCCTTCGCTTGAGCTGCAGCGGCTGCAGACGAAACCTCACGATGCAGAGGCCGGTTTACACAGCTCTGCCAGGAAATGTGTGTGCTGCACGACAGCCGGCTGCTTTAGCAGCAGATCAGAGGTGAAATGATCGTATCCGCTCAAGATAGTTTGTGAAGTCGCTTCCTAGGAGCAAAGTGACCGAACCGGATCCTGTGACGGACTCACAAGTCAGAGTCACGTGACCCACAAACGCGTTTAAGCCACTGCAGGGTTTTTGGTGGTTATCACAGACTGCACAGACACACAGAGGGCTGTAGTGTGCGTTACATGAGGTGCACGTTTCTACTGTAAGCATCTCAAGTTCATTTTATGATGAAGCGTCAGGACTGCAGCTGTTTGACACACACACAGTAATAACTTCACTGTGGTGACTTCCAGTTATTAAAGCCTCATAAATGAAACATAGAGCAGAGGAATCAGGAGCAAAAATAAGAACATTATTAAACGTTAGACGCTCGAACACTGCAGAGCACGTTTGGCTGTGTTCACAGAGCAAACCTCAGTGCAGCGCGACTGTGCACGAGTAGCATTCAGAAGCTCAGATGAAGGTTTGTGGTGGCTGCAGCTCAGGAGCCGGTCATCTACTGAGTCAGTGGTTCGATTCCTGGCTGCTCCTGTCTGCGTGTCAGCTACCCTTGGGTAAGACACTAACCCCAGGTTGGTCTGCAGTTTGCATAAAGAGCTGTGAGTGCTGAGCTGTGCAATCCAGCGTGAGCACAACAAAGTCAGTAACGTCATGGAAAAACAGTTTCAGATGCAGGTTTCAGTCATGACAAATCTCTGCATGAACAATGATGAAACACCATCTTTCACGCAGAGACACACCGGGCGCGGCGTTTCCCTGGGATCGCGGCGTTTAAGGAGGACGTGGACGTCCGTGTGCAACCTGAATCAGCTCGATGCTGCCGGCTTTGTGAAAACTACAAAGATGGTGTGAAAGCAATCAGCTGGACTGGTTCTGGATGGATTTAGTTGGTCTGGAGAGGCGACAGCTGCTGAGTAACAGCAAAAATTTAAGACAAAAACAAATAAAGTGAAAGATGAATTATTGTCTGCAAAGAAGGCGAGCTGTTTGAAACTATGAACACTGCGTCACGCATGGTGGTGGCAGCGTGATGGTGTGGGGCTGTGGTTAGAATAATAAAGAGGGAGGACTGCTTCATATCAAATCAATAGTTCGATGTTTGAAACACAGACACAGGCGGGCGCTTCCACAGGACAATGACCCCAAAGCCCCGACATCAAGCCTACACTGAAACTTCGTGGACTACACTTAAAGCTGTTTCTATGCCAGAAAACCAACTAATTTAAAGTCGACCAGTTGTGCCAAGAAGCTCAAATATCCAGAATTATGCCAAACACTTTGATGGCTTCTAAAAGTGTCCGACTGAGGTGCTGACAGACATTTAAGGGACATATGAGTGCAGGTGTATAAACACTGCAGGTGGATTAGAGAAAATCCAAAATGATTTCAACCCCATGCTGAACAGTCCTTCCACCCTGGAAACAGAAGAGTTTAAGGAAATCATTAAAAGCCCCAAATGAGCCTGAAATTCATGCCCACGATGAGTGGATGGAAACTTCTGATCACAGCATGTCCAGTGTGCCTCTGACATGCAGGAACCTTCTCGTGTCCACCAGGGGGCGACTCTTCTTCTAGAAGTCAAACATGATAACGTCTATTTTGGAAATTATGCCACTAACAGGATCACAAATGGATGATGTTTCAGGCGTCCCTCGGTTTCTCAGGCAGACCCGACGCTCGCTTCAGGTTTCGTTACACACTCTGTAAATCAATCCCTCGATGAAGGAAACCTGCCTCAATTTAATGGACACAACTGAGAGGAAGCCCTGAGCTCTTCCTTCTTCTGATGTTACCTGTGACAGGGAGACTTGGAGGTAAAGGCTTTAAAAACAAACTCAGACATTCTAGAAATCAATACGAACCAATGACATTTTGTCCCTGCGTTTAAAGGTGGCACAAACAAGAGCAACCTTTCAGCTGCAGCAGGACACACAGAGGATCGATGTGTCTCAGGAAACGCCTGCATCTC